TTTTTATATGTTATGTTTCGGTTTGGGTCTGATTGACCACGCTCAGCTGACGTTGGCTGTAAATCACCACGGTCCTTTACGTTGTGGGCAAGCTTCGGGGTCAACTTCCTGGAGTCGTGCCATTACCAGCACGGTACATTTCATTAAAGCGTGGTTTTAAAAAAAAAGTATTTTTATTATATGACTTATTTAAGTAAAATATTTGGGGAAGTAACGAAGAAGAGAACCTACCTCGTTTTGAATGTTTGCCTCGTTTTTGGGACTTAAAACTTTCGTGACTGCAGGAATTCATATTCTTGACTTTACCGAAAGAACCAGGAATGTTTAGCTTCATCGCAGAAGTTTTCCCCGTTTTTGTTTACTGAAGGAAATTAACGCAATTAACGGATGCTTCATTTGGTAGCGGTGGCGCAAGCGGTGGAGCGAACTGAGCCACGAACCGCGTGGGCCCGAGTTCGATTCCTGGCCACGGCTACCATCGGTGATGTTTGAACCTGTCCTGGGGCTCCAACACGCACGAAACCACCGTGGTGAAGTATGGTCAAACACGAACCCAGTGGCATGGCTGTGAGTGTGCAGGCGGTGCAACTGCACCGCGCCCGATGCCTCGCCAGCCACGCGGCGCGCTGAGACATTCATCCAGCGGTGGATTGTGACAAAGGGTAAATAATAAATAGTACGGTAAGCCTGGGACGAAGTTTCAATGAAGTTGATTAATCGATAAAAAAAATTGAGATCCAGAATTTTGTGGAATTTACTCGGGCTCCTTTAAAATAAGTAATGTTTATATACATAATTTTTTTTAAACACGCTTTTATGAAATGTACTAGTAATGGCAGAACTCCATGAAGTGGCCCCGAAGCTTTGCCATAACGTAAGGGACCGTGGACAATTACAGCCAACGTCAGTTGACCGTGCACAATTAGACCCAAGCCGAAAAATAGCATCTAAAAAAAAATGTTTAAAAATATATATTTGTTATTTTTTTATGATAGAATATAGTATTGTCATCAGTATGACATAAGTATACCAAGTTTGCAGTCGATACCACATTGGGAAGTTTGGTTAAAATTGAGTTACACGATTTAAGGATACAACAACGACAACAACAGACAGAGTGAGTTAAAAGAGAGCGTGTAATATAACAAAGTCCCAGGTGGCTCGCCTCCGAAGGCAGGAAACCCCCGACCGCCCGCCCCGTCGTGACGCCGGTGACGATGCGGACGACGTCAGCCCCGCCCATTACCTCCCGTTCAGCGGCACACGTGGGGGGAAGGAATACGCGACTTTACCCCGCCCCCAAAATTATTGTGTTCATCTTCTTTGGTTCTTTCGGTAAAGTCACGTAGAATGAGAATAAAATAATAAATTGATAAAATAAAATAACACAATAATATTCTCACGACGTTTCGGCCACAACACAAGCGGCCTTCATCAGGTGAAGGGACGAGACTGTCTGGAGGACAGCGCTGGAGTGAAAAAGCCACGTTCAGATCGAGTAACGGAACCACCCCACCCCACCACCACCCCTTACCCCGCCCACTTCTCCCCCACCCCCTCCCCTTCCCCCGCCCACTTCTCCCCCCACCCCCTCCTCTTCCCCCGCCAACTTCTCCCCTCACCCCCTCCCCTTCCCCCGCCCACTTCTCCCCCCACCCCTTCCCCCGCCCACTTCTCCCCCACCCCCTCCCTTACCCCGCCCACTTCTCCCCCCACCCCTCCCCTTACCCCGCCCACTTCTGCCCTCTCCGCAGGGAGTCGACGCGAATTTCAAAATGCGCGTCGGTAATTAAACCCAAAAAAGGCGCATGGCAAATTGGGTAATTAAATCAAGGCCATAATTATAATATTCAAATATGCTCAAAATGTCCCCCCCAATATATTGCTATAAAATAGATTTCTGTTTACATGATTGTGGTTATGGTTGCACTTTATTAATCCCTAATCTCTGCCATTACATACAATGAAACAAGACAAGGTAAAAAAAGAAAAAAAAACAGAGCAATGTAATACAATACACTATTAGACATTGTTGTAAAAAAGGCCATCCTATGTGTTAGTGAATTTTTAATAAAAATATTTTAGGCAGGAAATTCGCTTTCAAATTTAGATTTTTTTCTGGGGTTGGGACCCCCAGACCCCCTGGAAGATTTGATCCCCCCCAATGTTGACTCCATGGCAACGGCCTTGAATTAAACGCCGTGCTTCGTTTGTCTCGCACGTAACGCTATTCGCTATGTATGTGAGGAGCGGTGGTGCAGCAGTTAGCGCGCTGCGCTACGAACCCGGCGACCCGAGTTCGATTCCCGCTCACGGCCAACAACCACCAGTGACGATTATCTGAACCGGTCTCGGGCCTCCCCTAAGTCGACTCAGCCTCAAAATGAGTACGTGGTTGCGGTGTGTAAACATCGCTACTCGAGAGACAAAGGCGGCCGGGCGTGGTGATGGCCTCCCACCCCCTCGTGTGCCGTGTCGGCCTTTATAGGTGCTCGCTAACAGCAATTGCCCCAAACAGTCTGTGAATACTTTACGGGGGGACCTTTCATCGCAGTGGTATTTGATGAATTGTTACGATTTAGAGTCGTGATTTAATAAAAAAAAATAGATATTATATTGTGTGGCGCTTCTAGTGGACGCAACGTGAATTAATTACAAGGCGAAAATCAAAATCGGGTTTACCCTTTCTGCCGATAAAACAGCTGTTAAAGATGTTCAAACACCAAATAGACATTTTGCAACGAATCAAGTGTGCGTTCACCACGCATGGTAGTTGTGGTGAACATGCAAACAAACATGGTCTGATATCTGGCGTTGTCTTTGAAACGTATTGGTCTACACCAAGGCCGTAGCCATGGAGTCAACATTGGGGGGGACCAAATCTTCCAGGGGGTCTAGCCCCCCCCTCCCCCAGAAAAAAAATCTAAATTTGAAAATAAATTTCCTGCCCTACTCTTTGGTTCTATTCGGTAAAGTCACGTATGTGACTTTACCGAAACGTCGTGATTTTTGTTGTTTTATTTTTTACCTACGTGACTTTACCGAATAGAACCAAAGAGTATGGATCCTTGCAGTCACGAAAGCTTTCAATCAAGAAATTTCCTGCTATTTCCTGCCTAAAATATAAAAAAATTAACTAACACATGGGATGATTTTTTTACAATAATGTCTAATAGTGTATTGTATTTATTACATTGCTCTGTTTTTACCTTTTCTTGTTTCATTGTATGTAATGACAGAGATAAGGGATTTATAAAGTGCAACCATAACCACAATCATATAAACATAAATCTATGCATTGTTATATGAAGACAAGTCCAGATATTGTGGCCAAGGTTTAGCAAATTGTTGTTTTTATTTACATAGCATAGCAATTTTTTAAAATTGTTTATAGCAATATATTTGGGGGGGGGGGGCATTTTGAGCATATTTGAATATATATAAAAGGCAAAGTTATGATTATGTGTGTCTGTTCAAAATGTTTAGCGTACTTCCCGACATGCAACAAACTTGAAATTTTCCATGTGTGTACTTTCTAGACTGTACACCATGCAAACATTATAAAAATACACTTTAGTTTTTTTTGGGGGGGGAGCTCAATAATGCATTTATTTTTTGCACGGCAAGTGAGCTGTGTGGTCAAATCTGTCACGTGACCCGCGCATGTGGAAGCGTAACGCATTGTAGTGTAGTGGTTAGCGCTACGCTGCGCTACGAACCCAGCGACCCGAGTTCGATTCCCGCTCACGGCCACCACCGGTGACGATTATTTGAACCGATCCTGGGCCTCCCCTAGGTCGACTCAGCCTCAAACGAGTAAGTGGTGTGGTGTGTGAACATCGCCACTGGGGAGACAAAGGCGGCCAGGCGTGGTGAATCCAAGTCCCGGGCGAAGCCGGGTAGTAAAGCTAGTTTGAATATATTGATTACGGCCTTGGTCTACACCAGAGACGGCCTTATTTAGGACATCGTCTCACCAGTGTCAGACGAGAGAATGCTAAAAGGTGAACAGTACAAAGGCAATGCACTATCAGGGCATTTATAACTCGGGGGAAGCAGCTACAAAATGAGACATTTTTTTGCTAGTATCAAAGTATGAAAGATCATCGGTTTTTACTCTTTCTAGCAATAAAACAGGTGTTCAGATGTTTGGCGTTTGAACAACTGAACACCAGTTTTATTGCCAGAAAGGGTAAAACCTTTTCTTATTTTTTATACGTTGATACTGGCAAAAAAAGGGTTCCATTTTATACTATTTGGTTATTTCGGTAAAGTCACGTAGGTATAAAATAAAATATATATATTTTTTTACTTGTGTGAGTATGGATTCCTGCAGTCACGAAAGCTTTAAATCAAGGTTCCATTTTAATTATAAGGCGAGTTGTACATATGGAAGATCGTTTTTTTTGCAGGCGCGCGATTTTGCTGCGCCCGTCTGCGCGGTGTTCTCCTACGCCAGAGAAAATGTAAATACAATTGGGGGGGGGGGGGAAATATCAAATAAAAAGTGTGTATTTTAATTGATTGACACATCGTTCATAATTTTTACAATAATCTGAGCTAAAATAAACAAGTGAAAATGAGTAATGCACAACCCTTGATTAATCCAATGGCCTATCCACGGCATGTCTGTTACGTGGGTTATTTGACCATACTTCACAACGCCTGGTCAATGCGGATTGGTGACAAGTTGGGGGGGAGGGAGGGGTGGTTCTGATTCACATTTCACTTGGCCACTGATGTTAGCCGTGAACGGGAATCAAACTCGGGTCACTCGCTTCAAATCGTCTTGGGCTAACCGCTTCACCACCCACTCTCTGCCCTCACACTGACAGACAACGGAAATGTAATCGTTTTAGCTCAGACGATGTACTTGTGTGTGTTCACAAATTGCCTCCCCGCCCCGCCCCCCCCCCCAAAAAAAAGTACCGTACACATTTAATGAAACGCACACTCCCGTGTCAAAATACCAAATAAAAACGCAATCAAAATCACTCGTGTTTTATTGTTCACGTTTGTTTTTATTATAAGTTGTTTATATCATCGTCGTTATGAAAGGTTATAAATACGTGGTGGGTATGTTTCAAATACAGCACACACACACGTCGCACATAGTCATGAATGAAGCCCAACTAATACCGTATTTTTCCGACTGCACATCCGAGCCATGCCAGGGTCCCTGCCAAACTAACCTGGTGCAGCCTGCATGGTTTTTCCACTGCACAACCGAGCCATGCCAGGACACTGCCAAGCTAGCCTGGTGCATCCATGTTGTTTTTTTCCATTGCGCAAATGAGCCATGCCAGGGCCCTGCCAAGCTAGCCTGGTGCAGCCAGCATGTTCTTTTCCACTGCAAAACCGAGCCATGCCAGGGCCATGCCAAGCTAGCTTGGTGCTGCCAGCATGTTCCTTTCCACTGCACAACCGAGCCATGCCAGGGCCCTTTGGCAAGCTAGCCTGGTGCAGACAGAATTTTTTTTTTCCACTGCAGAAGCTGAGCCATGCCGCAGAGGACACGTGCATTGAACGGGCACTCGACGACGTGGTGACACCGCCTTTCCGTGTTGTTTAACACGTAGAAGTCGGAGTAGGGCTTTGGCAAGCAATATTCTGAATAATAAAGTGTTTTTTTTGGGGGGTTAGGTAGCGTAAATATAACACCCGACCACACAGCCAATTAGTAAGGTTTGTCACCTGAACAAAAACTTGCCAATTATTTGCTACTTCAGCACCACAGGTGTGCTGGAGGAGAGTAACCCCACAACATTTACAATTGTTGTAAATGTGCTCGGGTGGTGGTGGGTTTAACGACACAGATTTATATTTAAGTGATATAACCCCCCTCCCCCCCCCACCCCCAAAGAAAGAAAGAAAACCCTTTATTAATTCTGAGTTGTACTTGACGGACGTCTCACTAACTTGCACACGTCATTAGCCCCGCCCCTGGCCCTGCTTGGCCACCGAACCAGATTGCAGATGTCTCTTTTGTGAGGCTGACATTTCAATGTGTTGGTTGCCCCTGTGCTGGCGTGGCTCGGGTGTGGCCGGTGGAAAAGCGATGCGTACGGAGGTGAAGAATTATTATTCCCTTAAAAAAGTAAAAGCTAAAGGATGCGGAGAGAGCGTGTGGCGCCTGGGAATGAAGAAAATCACCCGTGGAAACGTTAACACAATTCTAAAGACATCACACACACAATGTTGAGACTACAGTTGCCAAAACCGTAAAACAATGTAATAAAAAAAACTGTGCCTCCTTCTGTAAGAAAGTAATTCTATCAAGTTATTGTTTTTTACGACTGAAACAAAAAAAAATAGTGGTTTTATTCGTGTATCTTGTTGCTGCTGTAGTTTATTATTTTTATTTTACGTCAATGTTTGCTTCCGTAGGATTTTTCTATCGGGGCCTAGTCACGTGGTGGTATTTTGCGCCGAGTCGTCGACGCTTTCCATTGGCGACGTGCCCCCCAAACCCCCCCCCCCCCCCCAAGTCTTGCGTCGTAAAATCGTGAACCTCGGGCGCGGATCTGTGAGGGGAGCACAACAGGAAAAAGAAGTTGGACACGCGAGCGAGCGGCAGTCAGTGAGAACGCGTTCCCCGTTTTACCTCGGGGGGGGGGGGACAGCCGCATTCTTTTATATTTTTTTACTGTCGATCGCACACGACGGCGACCGTTCGCTCCGGCCGCTTTGGCGCTCGCCGTACGGCTGCGCGAATGACCCCCGGCGTTTCGCACACCCGCGTTGCTCGCTCGGAGCTTCCCGCGGCGAAAACGTCGGACCTTGTTGCCCAACGACCGCGGCACGACCCCCGAAAACAAACAGCACCTTTGAGCGCAAAGTAAGAGGTTGATTAAGAAACGTAACGACGGCACCGTCGCTTTGGCTGCCGATCGAACAAAGACGGACGCCGCATCGCGCGCCCTCAGATGTGCTTCCGCGGCCGTCTGGAACGCTCTTCCTTCCGATGTTAGGAAGCCACTGGAGCTATGCACTTTGAAATCATTTGGATTGACAAGCTCATTTCTTTAAAACTCAAATGACTACCTAGTGCGGTGTGTAAACTCAACCACCGGGGAGACAAAGGCGGTCAGGCATGGTAGCGTTTACGCACCGCACCAGGTACTCATTTGAGGCCGAGTCGACCTAGGGGAGGCGCAGGACCGGTTCAGATAAACGCCACTGGTGCTGGCCGTGAGCGGGATTCAAACTCGGGCCACCGGGGTTCGAAACGCAGCGCGCTAACCGCTACACTACCGCCTCCCCCCCACACACACAAACCCACGTGTGTGTGCGCGCGAGTCTAATCGACACAAACTCGCTGGACACAAGCCATCAAACGACCCTCCCTCCCTGTAGAGGTTGTCCCCTTCCTTGCCCCCCCCCCCCCACTTTCCATGCCACCCACCGCGCCTCTGTAGAAGATGTCACTGCATGCAGTGCCGGATTAAGCTAGTGCGGGGCCTGTAGCATTTGTTATATAAAGGGGCCCAAATAAAATAAAAACCCACAAATATGAAAATACGCATTTTTTACTTGCATAGTAAAGTAATTGTATTTTTTCATTTGCGATACAGCCAAATAATAAGACAAATGATAATAGGTTTTCCCCTTTTTTTCTGGCAACAAAACAGGTGTTAAGATTTACATTATGAGACCTCCTTTGCCAGTAACAAGATATAGTAATAGGTTTTACCCTTTTAACTGGCACAAAAACTGACACCTTTATTCAAGGCATCATGTTTGCAATAACCACAACACAAGCAGTCAAAATGTAAACAAATGCATTTTGACTGCTTATGTTGTGGTTATTGCAAACATGATGCCTTGAATAAAGGTGTCAGTTTTTGTGCCAGTTAAAAGGGTAAAACCTATTCCTATATCTTGTTAATGGCAAAAGGAGGTCTCATAATGTAAATGCTCACCCAGAGCCCTCAATACTCTGATAGTGCGCTGTTTTTGAGTTGTACGCCTTTTGGCGTCATCTGGTCGAACACCAGTGGAGACTAGGCTCTAAGAAAAGCCGTCTCGGGTGTGGAACAATCAAATTCAAGGACAGTGCATATTATTGTCTCTTTTGTTTGCATTTTGACTGCTTGTGTTGTGGTTATTGCAAACATGATGCCTTGAATAAAGGTGTCAGTTTTTGTGCCAGTTAAAAGGGTAAAACCTATTCCTATATCTTGTTAATGGAAAAAGGAAGTCTCATAATGTAAATGCTCACCCAGAGCCCTCAATACTCTGATAGTGCGCTGTTTTTGAGTTGTACGCCTTTTGGCGTCATCTGGTCAAACACCAGTGGAGACTAGGCTCTAAGAAAAGCCGTCTCGGGTGTGGAACAATCAAATTCAAGGACAGTGCATATTATTATCAGAGTTGTCTCTTTTGTTTGCATTTTGACTGCTTGTGTTGTGGTTATTGCAAACATGATGCCTTGAATAAAGGTGTCAGTTTTTGTGCCAGTTAATAGGGTAAAACCTATTACTATAGGTATTAAGATGTTAAAACACCGAACTAAAACCTTTTACAAGGAATCATGTCTGCATTGATCACAATACTTGTGGTCAGAATGCAAACAAAAATCATACTCTGATAATGTGCATTGTCTTGAAACTGATTGGTCCCCACCAGAGACAGCTTTCTTTTGAGCCTAGTCTCAAAACGGTGTTAGACCAGAGGACGCCAAAAGGCACATCGCTAACCTTAAACACCCAGTCGTTCATAAAAGCTGAAAGGGGGTATAGTACTATAGTAATAGAGCAAGTGCAGAATCAGTGAACCAGAATTGATAGCTTGAAAGCATTTAGCGCGGGGCCCTTAGCATACGCAGCTACTTTTGCTACTAGGATAATCCGGCACCGCCTACGATGGCTGTTTAATGTTGAAACGCCGCCGACAGGTGTCAAAAAGGTACCAGTCGCGTCCTACTAAATCAGCGGAGGAAACTGGAACCTTTGATTGGCATGGCAGGCACGACGAGGCGATGTGGCGTTTGCCTTCAGCTGCCACTTCTGCTGCTCTGAGCTGTGCATAAAAATGCATTGTACGCGCGTGCCGGAGTGGGGGGGGGGGGTAGTGGACTATAACGTACGCGGAGATTCAATAGCGAGTGCAATACATTGGACGTGATCCGTTTACCGGGAATCGCAGCGGTCACTGTATTCCATCCAGGTCGCATGTGTGGCTGTTCGTCTGCGAGGAGGAGATTTAAAAAAATAGAAAGGGTAACGATTAGCAAATGCAAGGGGTGGACAAAATATACGAAGACAAAGGGCTCGCCCACGGTAGCCTGTTTAGGGGGCCGGGGTGGGGTGGGTAAAGTGCCGTTGGCGATCGATCGATGAAGGTTTGATTACGGCACATGTGACCGGTGGCTGGGCAGCACCGCGCCCCCGGCCACTTTTGCCTCCCTCCGCCACCCCCCCCCACCCCCCATCGCCGACGTTTGCCATGACGCACCCGGTGCTCGGTTAATGCTGAGTCGACCTAGGGGAGGCCCAGGAGACGTTCATATAATCGTCACCGGTGTCGTGGAAACAATTAAGGAGCGCAAACCAAAACGGCGTGCGATTTAAAGGTCGCTGGCGTGAAACGCGCCGAGAGAGAAGAAGCAAAGAAAAAACCTCCCCGCTGGTAATAAATTCGAAAAAAATGTTCACGAGCTCGGCAGAAGCTCCAAAGTTTTGTAAAAAAACAACAACAACATTCTTTGGCAGCGCATCGCAACACGGACTTGATACTTAAATGTCTCTTTTAATCCTATCAAATTTTTTTTTACTCCAGTAGCATGGAGTCAACGAACACGGACACGGACGCCCGGTGCGTTAATGGTTCGCGATCAATTCCAGCAGTGTGCTTCTAGGCGGGCCAGAATATCTGAAATCCTGCACAGATATCATCAACATCATCATCATCGTCGATCTTCATAGAGGCAAGTTTACGCTAACGGCGATTCGGTCGCTCAACCACTCGACCGGATGTGGACAAAGCAGCTGCAGGAGATTTCCTCGACCAATCCGATCGCGCGACTGACGGATCGTGGGTGCGCAGGAGCCGCGCGTCACCGCACCAGGCGCCGCTCCCCGGCGGAGCGAGGCTCGGCGAGGCCGTCCTCCTCTCCCTCCGCGACCTCCGAGCCCGCGGCGTCGCCGTCGCTGCGCGCTGCCGCCGGCGCGTCCGCGAGTTTGGAGGCCCCAGCGGCCCCAGCGGCCCCAGCGGCGGAGGCTACCGCGGAGGAGGAGCTACACGACACCCCTGCTCGCACGCACACGCGCACGCACGCACGCACATACGCAGTATTACAAGACTGTTGGGGCAAGTGCTGTTAGCGAGCTCTTATGAAGGCCGGCACGGCACGCGAAGGGGGGTGGGTGGCCAGCACCACGCCCGGCCGCCTTTGTCTCCCTCGTGGCGATGTTTACTACACACCGCGCCAGGCTCTTATTTGAGGCCGAGTGGACCCTGATAGACGCCCAGGACCGGTTCAGCCAATCGTCACCGGTGTTGGCCGTGAGCGAGAATCGAACTCGGGTCACCGGGTTCGCAACGCAGCGTAGCGCCGACCGCTACACTACCGCTCATCTGCTCGCGCGAGCACGCACAGACGGGGATCGCGGACGAGGTGAGCGGGCAGCAGCGTTGCCGACACTCGACAGCGGAAAGTCACGAAACACAATCTCGCTGTATGTCGCTAAAGAGACCTTCTACAGCCCCCGTACCAAATCCGCTGCACGTGGAGGTTCCCTCGACCTTACTTCGCCACGCTGGGTCGGCGCGGGTTGGTGAACGGGGTGCGTGCCCCAGGACCTGTTCACATATCAACGCGTCACCGACGTTAGCCGAGGATGGGATTCGAACTCTGGTCACCGCTTCGACCTTCTGAGCTAGCACGTCCGATTAGCGCGGGTGGCTACGCACGGTGTGACAGAAGTTCAGCATGCGGTGCGTACACACGGGACAACTCGCCGAGAATCGCACAGGCGGAAAAAAATAATAAACTAAACTGATCCGTGATCCTCAACACAAACCCGGAACTCGCTTCTGAATCTGCACAACGATGTCCACGTCACGTCCCAGAGAGTCGGAGGATTTGTGGCGAGTTGCTCTGACAAAGTGTTTTACAAGTACAGCTCCTGGTTACCGATGATCACTCTGGCTACATTCCATTTGATCCGCCACTTGATCTGGCGAAATGCCACCTGCGAACATTTACGAATCTCAGTTTTCTAAGTGTGGGAGAAGTACAGCCACCTCCGGCGTGAATACGTGGTGACATCATGTCAAGCCGCCTTTCGAAAAACAAAAACATAGATGTATAGCTTCCCTGTGTGATGCAGTTCAACGATATTTTTTATTTTTCCACGGGCCGAATTGAGAAACAAGGGCTTATCCATTACTCTGATAGCGTGCCAAATGATTGCTTTGTCTCAAGACACAATGCCAGTTGAAGAAATTCAGGGATAATATAACATGATGTATATTTACATGAAAATACATTTGTGCTTGACGTGGGGGTTCTGAATGGATTATTTGTCTCATTAAAATGATTCCGATAGCACACCTGGGGCTAAAAGTGGAGAAAAAAAACCGTGGAGAATAGCAAACATTAAAAAAAGCTGCTACATGACCGTGTAATTAGAATAATTTTAGATGCTTAATTGACTAGGCCATTAAGCGGACTGCATTTTGCACGGACGATTAAATTGCCGACTCAAAAAAGGCTTGGATTTACTTTTTTTTTTGGTGTTGAGCACTTTGCCAACCGGGAGGAGCTGCTGCATTAGCAGGTAACAAATAATAATAAATAAGCAACAGGTAACCATGCAAAATTATTCCCTTCACATTACAGACGAGTGGTTCTCATTACGCTTTGTGGCTGAGGGTTGAAAGAGCGCAAACGCTTTAGCGCCGTGAGCACGTTTTTTTAAAAGACGACCCAAAATGAGCGCAATTTGAGCGTGAAAGTTGCGTCGCCACTCGGGACTCTCCCCGTAGAAGACCGCGCCACACTCATCAAAAGGCTTGCCAAAAACACGGCTGATCAAAAAAAAAAACAACAACCCAGTGCTAAAAGATCCGGCCTTGCAGGACGCGCGCCCCACCCGCCATCGACGACGCCGTCGCACGCGCTACGAGCGTACTGATCGTAACGTTACATGCGCTTTTAATGTGTCCATCTGTGAAGCGCCCTGTGACAATTTCCATTGTGGGCGTCGAGCGTCGAGGGTGGAGCGGCACCCCCATGGCTCACCAGGAGAAGTCGGTGCCGCGAAAAAATCTTGGACTTGACCCGTTTACGTCTGTGTGGTCTAGAGTGTTTGCTCATCACGTGCCTGTTTTTTTTGCCGGGTTTCCCGGGTTCCACTCACGCGGCCGATAACGTCTTAATTTATGGAGGCCTGCGGAGCTTGGGCATTTTTTCCGGCGTCGATTCAAAACGCCTGGCTGCCATGCCGCCCGTCTGTGGTTCCTCACGCCTCTGAATGATTCCCTCTGTTCGAGAGCGAGCGAATGGACGCTGTGCACGTTCCAAGTGGAAATCATAACAACAACTATAATTATCTGATGATTCATTGGTGAATCAAAACGATAATAAATGAAATGTCAATAACTTAAAACGACTCGAATGGGGCAGCCCTCGACTGCAAACGCGAAACAAACCTGGGAACTGGGATTGGTAAAGTGCCGTGGTTAGCCTCACCGTGAATTTAGCAGTTTTATTTGAAAAAAAAAATACCACTGAAGGGTCCTCGGATGCGCAAAGGGACAAATTGACACGATGTAATATTTTAAATCTGGCACAGAAATAAAATAATCTATTGGCTCCACCGAACAAAACGAGCGTCAGCATCCAAGGATGTCTCCTGCACCACTCGCCGACTTTCGCTGAAAAGTTTCAAAATTGGCACTTTAAATATTTCACGAAACGAAACAACAAATGCAATTAAAATGTGATTTCAGTGGATACGCAGCACCCTATATATTTTTTTAAATCGTCGAAGTAATGTGGTTTTACGCGTGAGAAGTGTTTTTGTTGCCGCAGTGAAAACTGTCTTTCAGCCGTAGATTTGTTTTTTGTTGCAACGGTGAGAAATGAAGGCGGCAATATCAACAGCTCTCAAAAGCGCGAGTAATAAAAATGTTGGGGGGGGGGGGGGGAAGTCACATCAAATAACGAAATATATTTTTTAAAAAAACACGGTAAAGATAAGAAAATAAAAATAATAATGAACACCGAAAAGGAGACACTGCGTTGTTCGGCATCTCAAACAGACGTGATAAATAAGAAATAAAAGACGACGATGTCTGTCTCGCTGCCAAAATAAATACAATAAAATGTACTTTGTCCTTCGGCCCACGGGCCCTGCTGACCCGAGAGTGTTCCAGCGACGTTCATGGGATGGTGACACGGCCCAACCAGCACGCTTGCCCCGTGCCGTTGCAAGCGCGGTGCAGTTCGAGCCCGGTGACCGACCCTGGTTAACCTTTTCCCGTTCAGAGGCGACTGCAGGTTGCGGGTCCCGTTCACCTCTGAATCTCGGGAACCCGCAGGCGGCTCGGCGTTGATTTTACATTTTTTTTAGAGGAGGCGTAGTAGCGCCGTTGTTTTTAAAGACGTTGCTACTCACCGTAGAGAGTCGCAGTGACACGACCGCACTCTATGATAGCTGGCGCCAAGCTGGGCCACACGCCCCTCCCGCTTGGCCTTGTGGGAGCCTCGGTACCGATAAAGTTACGTTATTTTCGTTTTACTTCCTGGTTCGTTTTGACGATATGCACGTACGTCATCGGAACTGAAGGGGAAGAAAAGCTGGCCAACCGAAGCTAAACTCCGTCTGTTGCATAGTGGACGAAAAACAGTACGGTTCATATTTTGCAAAATATTATAAGTCACTCAGAAATGACCGATTTACTCGAAAGATTATTTGATTTGATCTCACGGCGTAGCAATTTCTTAAATCCGCTCAGCCGCCTCCGTCCACCCAAATCAATCAGCAGGTCACGTGAAGTGGAGTACAATGTGGGGGTGTCCTCCCGCTACTTGTAAGGCGTCTCGCCAGCGTGGAAGAGTCGACCAAAGTAACTCCTCTGGAAGGAGGGGGCTCTCTGGAGCACGTCCGAGTGAAGATCCTTCTGCCAGCATGCAATGCAAGCGGGCCACTGCAGGGCTCCACCTTTGCCCACATTTTCCGACCCAGAATGCACAGCAAACCACGCAGGGGCAGCGGTAATGACCGGGACGGCTCTGGAGAATGTTTCCCTTGCCTCATTACTCCGTGGCTGCTTGGGAAATTCCTTTGTGCCTCGATTATAGAAAAAAATGTTATTAGACTGAGGCTCCATGGTGCTTTGTGCCTAATGGCTCACCGTTTTATTATATTTCATGGGAGCTTATGATAACCGGGAATTCGATCATGCCACACACAAACGCACACACGTGTGCGTATTGATATATAACATATATCAAAGGTTCATTGCCGAATTGTATGGCACACCTAGCTGGTGCGTGCGTGTCTATCATTGTGAAGCGGTGGTGTCGCGGTTAGCTCACGCTGCGCTACGAACCCGGCGAGCCGAGTTTGATTCCCACTCATATCCAAGACCAGTGACTGTTATCTGAGCAGGTTCTGGTCCTTCCTTAGGTTGACTCGGCCTCAAATGAGTACCTGGTGCAATGTGTAAACATCGCCACTGGGGAGACAAAGGCGGTCGGGCGTGGTGTTGCCCACCCACCCCGTCGTGTGCTGCGCTGGCCCTCATACGTGCTATTCGCTAACAGCACTTGCCCCAAGAGTCTGTTAAAGCTATACGGAGCATCTTTATCTTTGTCTATCATTGGAAGCAAGGAGTCGTTCGCATTCCATACAGCTGTGGAAAAACATTGCGCTGGGAACTTCTTCCTTGAAAAGCACCAGGGCGAAAAACGTCGGGCGCCATTCGAATAAGCAACACGTGGTCACTGCCCGAAAACGGATGGCAGACAGCTGTCGAGCACAACCACGACAGCCTAGGCAATGGCCCGTTAGGACCGTACATATTTTTGACCTTTCGAGGCATAATCTGCAATTCAATGTATCCGCTGATGTCAATCTATTCATAACGTCAACTGCGGTAAAAATGTACCCCCCCCCACCACCACCTTGAAGTATTACAAGCGCGAACTCTCCAACTGAGAGTCAGTCGGTCTCTCTGCCATCCCTTTCCCTCTCTCTCTCTCCGTCTCCTCGCACTCGAGAAGGTCGTATCGCTCGAAGTGCCGGGGACCCGCGGCAGCGCCAGCGCAAAACCGGGCAACGCAATCGGAGAGCGGCACGGCTCAAGCACGGCAAATGCGTCGCGCGGCACGCCAGCGGCGTGCTTTTTGCCCACTCGTCAATGAATCAACGATGTCATACTTTGTACGACACCGATTCGGGATCGCAATGCAACGTGCGTTCGGAGCATTCGCCTGCTGTGAATTTCCACGCGATGATAATAAAAAAAAACAAATTGTTAGAAAAGTCAACAAAAAACGTGGACGTCGTGGCACAACGAAGCACGAACGGGTGGGGTTTTCACACAATACCAGTTTTCTACCCACAACGCCATGCTTTGTTGATAACATCATCATTCCGAGGGATGGGCAGGGGCGGGGGGGGTGTTGCTTCAGGCCGGACAAAGCGCGTTTGTCTGCGCTGATCGTTACACCCCGACGCAAACTGAGCGCGTTCGTGTGTGTGTGTCTGAGAAGGGCGCATTGGAAATCCAATTTCCTGACGATATTGTGTTCGTTTGGACGAAACGTATGGGCATTTTTATTTCCCTCTCTTCTCTCTCTCTCTCAGTTCTCTCTCTTTCATCTTCTCTTCCTCTTTCTTCGAATAATAGAAAATATTTTTTCTTGGCGGGGTGTTTAGAATTTCAAATTTGTAATCCATATTCATACATTAAATTAGAATGAACGAACAATTGCATTTATCTATCCAAGGAGAATATAAGCATTATTTACAAACAACAATAACTCGCTATATCTGTCGTATGTTTGTCGTATATATATTAGATGGTTTGGGAAATGGGCCTTCTGCACAATAAGTGCTCTCTTTTTGACAATGGACACTGACGATGGGTCAATGGACACTGATGATGGGTCAATGCCTGAAACGTCGGCCTATTTTATGCTTGCCTGTGCAGCGGTGGTATTAGCGAGGGAAGTGGCGAGTTGATTTTTTTTTTAATTCGTGCTTGTGGCCCACTGCCAAAGGCAGTCCATTCATTTGTTAATTTTTGTTTCTATATTAAATTGTATTTATTAATTCCGAAATTCCAGAATTAACGTTACAATCTCACACTCCGGCACATGCCTCTTGCGCATGCAGGAGGCTGACAGAGGTCAGTTTTACAACAACAACAACAAGCTACACCAAGGTAAATCAACAAGGGCAGGCCACTCCGGCAGAACACACCATTGCATACATATTTAAAAAAAACAAATTTGGCTTCTATTGATTTCAGCACAAAATGCCACAGATGTCATTGGTGGGAATAAACATCGCGATTTCTGTCCACAGTCATACGATCCTAATCCTTTACGGTTTAAAAAATGTATATTGAAAAAAAAAATTCCCCTTCAGGTGTGACTATGGCCGATGTGGGGGCAGGCGATCGTGCCGGGGAGAGGCGCGTCTTGATGTTGTTGTTGTTGGGGCGAAAGAAAAATGACCAAATGGGCAAGCCGGCCGTGTCCATTTTTCTAACGGTGGGGGGGGGGGGGGGCGGAGGAGGTGTCAAAAATGAAAAAAAATCATCATTAAGAAATGAAATCGATGAAATGACAGCCGTTTAATCAGCGTCGCCCGAGGGCCTCGTGTTTCCCCCGTAAAAGATTGACAGAAAATTTAAAGGGGTCGCTTGAACCTCTCGCAATGAACTGCGAAATGGTAAAAAAACAAACAAACAAAGACACCCGTGTAGCCTGTAACAAACTGTAGGGGCAAGTGCTGTTAGCGAGCAGCGCCTACGAAGGCCGGGACGGCACACGAGGGGGCCGAATGGCCAGCAACAACGCCCGGCCGCCTTTGTCTCCCTCGTGGCGATGCTTACTACACACCGCACCAGGTACTAACTTGAGGCTGAGTCGACCTATGGGGAGGCCCAGGACCGGTTCAGATAATCGTCGCTGGTGTTGGCCTTGAGCAGGAATCAAAGTCGGCGTCGCTGGGTTCGTACCGTGGCGTCAATAACCGCTACCGCTCCAAGCGCTCGCCTCTACGCTACCGGTTAGCAAAAAAACACACGCGCACATGCACGCAGGCACGCGCACGCCACCTTCAACAGAACACAAAACCACCAGGAGGCCTTTCAATTTAAATATGCTTTCACAATGAATGTTCTTCTTTGCGAGCGAACTCTTTTCGTTTCGTCTCCTGGCAAAGGTGGTTGACGACCGAAAAAAGGCGGCAGTGTCATGTCGCAATTCAATCCAACGGAGAGAGACGAAGATTGAAAGCGTTTCCAAACATGGGGCAGTGATTTAGATTTTCTTTCACTTGCGTACACTGGCTTCAACCCCAAGTCTCCTGTAAACAAAACGAAAAAAAGATGATTACGATTTCTATGGGCTCTTTTAATGTATCCTCATCATGTGCCATGATCAATCCACTGCTGGACGAGGCCCCCCCCAAGATTGCCGCGACGCGGCGATCTACCGAGCAAACCTCACGTTGTCTGATTTCGCTGCTCCTTAAATTGTGTAGCTCAAAATAAAATATGAATTAAAATATATATAGCATATGTTTAATGGCAGTCAACCTACAGTGCGAATAGACCAGTGGCCACGGGAGGTAATGACAGGGGAGTCAGCTTGCACTACGAAGGGACTGGTGGCTACGGGAATGATCGTGAATAGGAGCGTGGCCAGGGGACGGAAGAGGACGTTGGAGTCTGCCGGTGGAGCGAGCGTCTAGAACCAGCAAGAAGGTTCGGGAAGGGGGGCGTGGCCTCGCACCGTATATAAGGGAGATGCGCGGGAGACTCTGGGATGTTGCAGTGGGGGTCTCCGCCGGTTCGAGTGCGAGCACGTGGCTCCTCAACAAAAGCAAGCGTCTCAAGACAACTGCGTCCAAGTCGTCATCACACTTGTATTTGCTAATTCACCGTCGGATAAAGGTCTCTCACGCTGTGTGGCTTCAATTGTTGCGCCATACTCTCACCAATGCTCGGTGGTGACGGCTACGCACGCCTGTAAATCCAGCGCTGTGGAGGACGAGGGTTGGTGGGTCGCACAAAACGTTGCAAAACTCCCTTCCCGTTGGGCACCAAGGAGGTGTCCGTACTCTGGCTCGCCAGGAGAAGGCGGTACGTGCGGCGAAGTGAGGACTAGTATCATCAAGTCCCTTCTCTATTGGGATCGCGTGATTCCCCCTCACATGCGTTGGTTTAATCGGGACTGTTGCGGTTTCCTCCCACGTGTGTGATTTGCTCAAAACATCTTAATGTGTAGAGGACCGTAGAGCTTGGGCAGTTTTTGGCGGCGTTGACTCGCCTCCTGGCCGCTGCCTTCGCGCTCGTCTGCGGTTTCTCAGCGATTGTGAGAAGCAAATTGTATGAACGGTTACGCTTTATATTTACATATATATTTTAAAAAAACTAAACATGATGTAGGGATGTCAATTTCACATCTGCTTCGAATCACTTCCATCCTGCTCACGTGATATGCCTTTGTGCCACGCGATTCCACCTTTGGCGGTAAAGCGCGGAAGTGACGTCGCGTTGTGATGTCAATATTTCTGGGACAATCAGACATTTCGTAACGAGGCCAGATTTTCGGATTCATCCGTAAATGGGGGAGGTGGGAGGGGGTGCACATCAACATAACATCAGCATCCCATTTCCATTGACGATAAAATCCAATCCTCGCACACGCAATCCGATGCATGCACGGCGAACACGAGGACCGATTGCCCGCGGCGAATTCGAAACTTCCTTTTTTGTTGTTGTTTCTGTTTGCCTCGTTTATCACGAGTTTTTTTCTGCGAGGCGTCGGCCACGCGCGAACAAACCCACCGTTCTGAGGTCTCTGCTGCTTCTCGATCTTCTCCAAATTCTCCAGGAGCGAATCGATGCGGAACTTCACCTGCCGCAGCTCCCCCTTGATGGCCTGCAGGCTCAGGGCCCGCACTGCCAGAGGCACGCGACAGAGGGAGAGAGAGAGAGAGAAGAGGCAGGGAGGCCACGGCAGGGATTACCCGGGCACCACTTCCACCGACGGCGAGGCGCGGCGCACTCTCGGGATGGGTGGTTTCCCCACCAGGATATTTGCCGGTTCGAGCCGTGGAATTAAAAAAAAACGTGATGCGCCAGGCCTCACAAGACATCGGTATCTGGCACAGGGGCTGGACAGATTGGAGCGCTCGTTTGCGTGTGACGCCAGCGGCACGGCCCCGGGCTTCTGCGGTGGAAAAAGACAAGCCCAGCACGCCTCTTTTCGACACGTGTTGGGCTTGCTTGGCTCGAGCGGCGCGTCAGTAAACAAAGAGGTACAAATTCACACTGCCACCCACCACTCAGCCGCTTGCCCTCCGTTAGGTTTGGCTTCCTGGAAAGTGAGCAGGACCAATCGATCAATGAAGGGACCGACCGACCAACCGATTGTCCCAGGGTGGCGAGATATTATCTCTCAGGCCTGGTATGCAGGAGATCGTGGGTTCAATCCCGACCCTGACACCTGCTGTATATTTGGGAGTTTCGATGTCTCTCTTACCGTGTGGTCGCGTGGAATTTTCTCCGTGCCCACCGGTTTTCCCCTCCACATTAAGATTCAACGTGCACTTAGAATATGTGTCTGTTATACATTTCCACGCGATAAGCCACTCTGTTGAGCTATCGTATGTGATAGCCAGGTAGCGTCTGAAGAAGAGCTATATAAGCAGCTCAGTGGGGCCTTACCCGGTAAAATAAAAAAAATAGTTTTACAGATCGGTTGACCGACCGACTGATCGCCTGACCGGCCAAGCAGCTGCTGCTTCGACAAAGAGAGAAAGAAAAACAGCGCTTGCTGCTGGGGGTCAGGGGGGTGGGGGTTGTGAGGGGGGGCGGTGGGGGGAGGGGGGGGGCTCACGTTTGGGTGCGGGGGCCGCGGTGCCAGTGATGGTGGAGCGTGGGCCGCCCTTCATGGGGAAGCCCCCCTTGCCCCGGCGCGGCGGAGCCGGCGCCGAGATGCGGGGCCGCTTGGCCGGCAGCAGGGCCAGCGGCGGCAGTGGCGGTGGCGGCGCCCGCACGGGGAACTCGTAGAGCCTGGTGGGGCGGCGAACGGACGCAGCGGCTTGAACAACGGCGGCGGCGACCGTCAAACCCGGCGAGAGCTTACCGAGCGAGCCGAATGCAGCACGGGTTGATAAAAAAAAATGTAAGCAACATTTTAAAATTTATTTTACCAGGTAATGCCCCTGTTGAGCTGTGGACTGTTGCTCTCTTTCAGAAGCGACCTGGCCACAGATGATAGCTCAGAGAAGTGGCTCATCACGCGGACATTTACGGCAGGCAAATGCTCCAAACGCGTGATGCTGATTCTAAATGTGGAGGGGAAAACCGGAGGACATGCAGCGAAATCCACGCGACCACGGGGGAGAGAGAAACGCAAACTCCAAATATACAGCAGGCGTCAGGGTTGGGATCGAGCCCACGGCCTCCTGTATACCGAGCGAGATTGTGAACATCTCCTAGCTACCGTGGCGCTTAATAGCAGCCTCCAGCGCAGTGACGTCGCACGTGGCCGGTACGAAGCCCTTGTGGTAGAGGCGCAGCCCCGCAAGCTGCCTGCTTACGCCACCCGCTGGCGGAACGGACTCCACGACGAGAGGAAACTCAAGAGAGAGAGAGAGAGGAGAGCCCTTCTAAAATGCGCATCGGAAGACGTTTTGAATGGAGGTGTGAGTACCCATACTTTCCCCCAACACGTGTGACGACGAACTGTGGTGCACCCATTTATTCAGATGCGAGGTGGGGGGGCGGGGGGGGTTATCCGATGCAGTGTGAGCAAAGCAATTGCAGGGTTGCACCTTTAACCTCATCCAATTACCATAGCCAACACCAACAGGCAGATTGTGCATCTTAGGAATGGCGGTAACCGCATATACGTGGCACACACCACGTGCATAAGACACTCTTGAGTTGATGAATGCCGTTAAATTATATCAAGAATGTATTTATAATCTTAAAAAATATATAAATGAATTGGTAAAGGTTGTGTGTTTTTGGTGTGAACACACTGACAGATTTAAAATAACCCCTTTTCAATTATTAAAAAAAAAAATCTTAATTAAAATTAGTTGCGTTTTTGATGATGAAACAATTTCTGGAATCTACGACACCTTGAGACGACTTGTGAAACACGTTATGTAAGTGTGAATTGTATTCCCGGGATTATTAGTATTATTATTTGTAAACTGCGAATTAAAAAAATGCAGTCGGCAACCGTGCACTGTCACCATGAACGAGAACACAACACTGCATGTGGCCTTATAAGAAAAAAATAACAACGTTTCGGGCGATGGCCCTTCTTAGACAATGTCTTTCATAGAATTATTTGCGACGTGATCATTTATTTGGCAACATACGAAATCATCAAGGGGCATTAAACGTGGTCAATCATGCATTGACCCTTCTTAGACAATATTTCTCGTAAACGTATTTGCTATATCCTCAATAACTTGGCAACATAGGAAATCATCAGGGGGTAGTAAGACACGTTCAATCATCAAACACTTTAGTTTGGGTTGCCGAGATGTTATCTCCCTAGCCTGCGAGGCAGCCTTAACAGACTGTTGGGGCGAGTGCTGTTAGCGAACACCGATTCAATGCCGGCACGGCACACGAGGGGGTGGGTGGCCAACACCACGCCAGGCCGCCTTTGTCTTCCCAGTGTCGATGTTTACACACCGCACCAGGTAGTAAGTTGAGGCTGAGTTGACCCAGGGGAGGGCCAGGACCGGTTCATATAATCGTCACTGGTGTTGGTCGTGAGCGGGAATCGAACCCGGGTCGCCAGGTTCGTAGCGCAGCGAGCTAACCACTACAATACCGCTCCCCATGTACACCCCACGTACACACACCCCACGTACACACACACCCCACGTATACACACATCCCACGTACATACACACCACACGTACACACACACCACGTACACATACACACACCCCACGTACACACACCTCACGTACATACACACCACGTACACATACACACACCCCACGTACACACACCTCACGTACATACACCTCACGTACACACACACCCCATATACATACGCACACACACCCCACGTGCACACACACACCCCACGTACATATACACACACACCCCACGTACACACACACACATACACAACCCACGTACACACACACCCCACGTACATACACAACAACAACCGCCATTCGCCACTAAGTGGCGGTGACGTCACCACGATGCTTGTGCCAGGCCATGTGCACCTTGAGGCCACGTGAAGTGTCGAACGCCCGCTGGCAGGTCACGGGGCAGACCCAGGTGCCACGGGTCGACTGACTGAGATGACCACCTGTGCCCCCTACTGTGCCAACCTGCTATGCTTTAGCCACCCGGCGCTCCGCTCGTTGTTGTGAGCGTCGCTCCTCCGCCCTCCGTTGTTGTTGGAGGGCGACTGCCTTCAACTGCCCAAGCGTCCTTCACGAGCCTCCTCCACAGAGGCCGATATTGACACCGCTGGTACCGGTCATCGGCAAGTCCACTCAGCTCCACGTCATCCTGTACCACATCACTCCATCTCTTCTCTAGCCCGTGCCGCGCCCGTTTAGCCCCCTTGATCCGGCCGAACAAAAGCTGTTTCGCCATGCGGTGGCTGGGCATGCGGGCTACATGACCCAGCAAACGCAGCCTTGCCTGCCGGAGGAGCTCACCATCTCCATCTCTTCTCTAGCCCGTGCCGCGCCCGTTTAGCCCCCTCGATCCGGCCGAACAAAAGCTGTTTCGGCATGCGGTGGCTGGGCATGCGGGCTACATGACCCAGCCAACGCAGCTTTGCCTGCCGGAGGAGCTCACTGATGGGACCTTGCCCAGATCTTTCAAGGATTTGTGAGCTCCTCACACAATCCAGCCTGGTTAAACGCAGGATGGATCGCTGGCAGGCTAGCCCAAATGTTTCTAACCGGCGAAGATGTTCCATTAAGGGGGTCCACGTTTCGCAAGCGTAGAGAAGGGAGGGAATGACCGTGGCCGAGAAGACCTGAAGATTAGTGCGGAGCGACAGACCAGGTAGCTTCCACACAGCGTTATGCAACTGATTAAAATATATTGCCGCTCGACTGATTCGGAGTGAGACCTCTGCTGTTAAACTGGAGCCGGTCATAAGCACACTGCCCAGGTATGGGAAACTCTCCACTCTCTCCACAACTGCCCCATCACCGATTGGGAGTTGTGGGGGTGGAGTGTCCGATGGTACAAAATACCCAGGCAGGTGCTTAGTTTTTGGTGGGGCTGTTGGTAAGGCCCCATCTCTTAGTGGCACGCTCCAGTCACGTACACACACACAACCCACGTACACACACACCCCACGTACATACACATAGACGCGCTGCGTGCAAACACCGCGGAGGGCCGAGCCGCCCCTAATTTAAATGTAAATCTCCGCTCGCCTTCTTCGCGTGTCGAGCGAACCAAACAAAACGGAGGGAGCGCGCGCGCCTTCCCGAACAATGGGAAACCCGGACCGCGAGCAAAACCGCGCGACTCACCGCCGCCGTAGTGAAACGCAAATTATTTCTTACAATTGTGTACCGCGGGGGGCAAGAGAGTCCCAGAAAAAAATATAAACAAGGAGGAAAGAAGGTGCGTGGGTTGTTGTTGTGGCTGTGATGGTGGTGGTGGTGATGAGGATGTGGAGCTGGGTGGATCAGCGGTGTCAAGGTCGGCCTCTGTGGAGGAGGAGGCTCGTGAAGGACGCTGCTGGGCAGTCGGGAGGCAGTCGCCCTCCAGCAATAGCGAAGCCACGCTCACAACAACGATCGAAGCACCGGGCGGCTAAAACAGTGCAAGTTTGGCACAGTTGGGGGCACAGGTGGTGCATCTGCCAGTGATCTCCGTTATCCCGTGGAAGCTGGATCTGTCCTGTGACTTGCAAGCAGCAAATCATCAACACTTCACGTGGCCCCAAAGTGCTCCTCGCCTTGCCAAAGCGCCGTGGTGGCGTCACCGCCACTAAGTGGCTGTTGTTGCTGCTGTTGCTGCTGCTGTTGATAGGGATGCAGTGGTGGAGGCTGGCTTAGCTGGCTGTCCCCGGGAACCACTCTCCTGCCAGTCCGGTGAACTTGTAGCATCTTACCCGCGCCAGGTGTGCCAATTAGCGCCAGGACTCCACGGCTCGCCAATTAACCACCTCTGTTCGCCGCACCTGGCGAGTGGGCTTACGTAGCCCCCCCCCCCCGTCATCCCATCTGCACAGAGTCCGCCTCCACAACCACCCGCGTGCATGGTCGTGGATGGTGGGGGGCGATCTGCGCTGCTACGTTTGTCGATCTGGGGCGCCGCGGCGGCGATGTGTTAACAACCTCGCCTGGCGTGCAGGAAGTCGTGGGTCCGATCCAGACCCTGACGCCTGCTGCTGTATATTTGGTTGTTTGCGTGTCTCTCTATCATCATCATCATCATCACGGTGGCTACGAGATGTTAACGACCTCGCCTGGTATGCAGGAAGTCGTGGGTCCGATCCCGACCCTGACGCCTGCTGTATATTTGGTTGTTTGCGTGTCTCTCTATCATCATCACGGTGGCTAGGAGATGTTAACGACCTCGCCTGGCATGCAGGAAGTCGTGGGTCCGATCCCGACCCTGACGCCTGCTGCTGTATATTTGGTTGTTTGCGTGTCTCTCTATCATCATCACGGTGGCTAGGAGATGCTAACAACCTCGCCTGGCGTGCAGGAAGTCGTGGGTCCGATCCCGACCCTGACGCCTGCTGCTGTATATTTGGTTGTTTGCGTGTCTCTCTATCATCATCACGGTGGCTAGGAGATGTTAACGACCTCGCCTGGCATGCAGGAAGTCGTGGGTCCGATCCTGACGTCTGCTGTATATTTGGTTGTTTGCGTGTCTCTCTATCATCATCACGGTGGCTAGGAGATGTTAACAACCTCGCCTGGCATGCAGGAAGTCGTGGGTCCGATCCCGACCCTGACGCCTGCTGTATATTTGGTTGTTTGTGTGTCTCTCTATCATCATCACGGTGGCTAGGAGATGTTAACGACCTCTCCTGGTGTGCAGGA